GCAGTTTTTTGCCCGTGGCGGCGCCAAACCCCTGTAAATTACAGCATTTTCTTCCCTTTCTGAACCGATTTTTTGCCTTGATGAACGGAAAAAACGCTGGTATTTACGCGTTTCCCAAAAAACGAAGATCGTGACGTGAACGAAACCCTGTAAATAACAGTGTTTTAGCCACTTTCGGGGACTAAAACTGTGGTATTTACGCGGGTTCTTGCCATCTGACAGCGCAAAATGCTGTAAATTACAACACTTTGTGCGCTGTTTATGTTCAATTTTTTAACCTGCGATGCTTTCACCTGTTCTTTGCATTCTTCAACAAGAAACAATGTTGCAGATTGAAACTGGACGACAGCGTGACCCGAAAGAAAGCTGGATGGAGGAGTCGCACAGAAGCTTTTACACATACAGGGGCTTTTACACAGAGAAGTCTTTAAACAAAGGAGCTTTTTACACACAGAAGGTTTTACACAGAGAAGTCTTTACTCTAAGGAGCTTTTGCACACAAACATCTAGGAGCCTTTACACACAGAAGCTGTTACACGAAGAAGTCTTTACACAGAAGGCTTTTTACACAGAAGCTTTTACACAGAGAAGCCTTCACACAAAGGAGCTTTTACACACAAAAGCATTTACACACAGCAAGCTTTTACACACACAGGGGCTTTTACACAGAGAAGTCCTTACACAAAGGAGCTTTTTACACACAGAAGGTTTTACACAGAGAAGTCTTTACTCTAAGGAGCTTTTGCACACAAACGTCTAGGAGCTTTTTCACACAGAACTTTTTACACGAAAAAGGCCTGACAGAGAGTTTTTACACACAGACGCGTTTGCACATAGAAGCTTTTACACAGAGAAGCCTTTACACAGAGGAGCTTTTACACACAAAAGCATTTGCACACAGCACTCTTTTACACACACAGGGGCTTTTACACAGAGAAGCCTTTACACAAAGGAGCTTTTTACACACAGAAGGTTTTACACAGAGAAGTCTTTACTCTAAGGAGCTTTTGCACACAAACGTCTAGGAGCTTTTTCACACAGAACTTTTTACACGAAGAAGGCCTGACAGAGAGAATTTTTACACACAGACGCGTTTGCACACAGAAGCTTTTACACAGAGAAGCCTTCACCCAGAGGAGCTTTTACACACAAAAGCATTTACACACAGCAAGCTTTTACACACACAGGGGCTTTTACACAGAGAAGTCCTTACACAAAGGAGCTTATTACACACAGAAGGTTTTACACAGAGAAGTCTTTACTCCAAGGAACTTTTGCACACAAACGTCTAGGAGCTTTTTCACACAGAACTTTTTACACGAAGAAGGCCTGACAGAGAGAGTTTTTACACACAGACGCGTTTGCACACAGAAGCTTTTACACAGAGAAGCCTTTACACAGGGGAGCTTTTACACACCAAAAGCATTTACACACACAGGGGCTTTTACACAGAGAAGTCTTTACACAAAGGAGCTTTTTACACACAGAAGGTTTTACACAGAGAAGTCTTTACTCTAAGGAGCTTTTGCACACAAACATTTAGGAGCCTTTACACACAGAAGCTGTTACACAAAGAAGTCTCTGCACAGATATATAGCTTTCACACACAGTCGCGTTTACACACAGAAGCTTTTACACAGAGAAGCCTTTACACTTTACACAGAAAGTTTTTACACACGGAAGCTTTTACACACAAACATTTAGGAGCCTTTACACACAGAAGCTGTTACACAAAGAAGTCTCTGCACAGATATATAGCTTTCACACACAGTCGCGTTTACACACAGAAGCTTTTACACAGAGAAGCCTTTACACTTTACACAGAAAGTTTTTACACACGGAAGCTTTTACACACAGTGAAATCTTTACACAGACGTTTCACACAGAGAAGCTTTCACACACAGTAGCTTTTACACAAAGAAGTCTTTACACAAAGTGGTTTTTACACACAGACACTTTTACACACAAAAGCTTTTACACAGAGAAGTCTTTGCACAGAGGCGCCTTTACACGAAGTAACAAGTTGAAATTGGGAGCAGTTCTTCGGGAAAAACCCTTGGCAGGAGCTTTCGGGAACTCACTTGCTCCCCAAAAAAGCCGTCTATTTCCAACAAAGTTCCTATTCGATGAACTTTTTTCAAAAAACATAAGGACTATATTTCTGAAGCAGGTCCCCATCCAAAAGCTTTCAAGCCATCACTGCGATGAAATGGAGGGTCGAGAAATCCGGTGGAGCCGACGAGGGGCGTCAGCCCTTAAAATATACACACACACATATATATATATATTATAATCATATTATATAAATATATACATTACATTGACAAGCATCCCCAAAGTCACATCCTCGCATGTCCGTACGGAGGCCACGGAGAGCAACTTGGAAAATCGTCGGTTTTGTTGAAGGTGATGACATGGTGATGACCACAACCAGAATTGCCCATGGATTCTTCCACTGAATCGATGTTTCAATTTTCTACTGGGGTTCACCAACAGCAATTAGCACAGGCTGAGTTCAATTTATTTCACCTACGCTCTGGTAATCAGTTTCAATGGCTGGAAATTCCTTCATTGACTTCTATGATTTTCCCAGCCAACGAATCACCTCGGTCGTTCGTGTCGGCATGTCCCGAAAAACCCAGCGGGCCGCGGGGTGGGGAAAACCCCCAAGCACCAACCGGCTCCAAGTCACGATGCGACCAATCACCCCATTGCCCGTGTAGAAGATGTGATCCCACTTCCGCGCCAAGAGCTCGGTGGATTCCGCAACACCACCAAGGTACGTTCGAAAGGTCTTTGGGTCCATGTACTTGTCGCACAAATCCTTGGTGGGAAACAGATCAGTTGGTGAACTTGGTGGATCGGTGAAGCAATCAAAAAAAATGGCTGTTTGGTTGTAGTGGACCCAGTAGAATATGGAATTACATGAGCGGTTACTTACACTTGTATGCTAAAAATTACAACTTGGCTCTGGAAAACTTCACCACATGACTCTCTCCAAACCGGACTTCTTGTATTTCCAGGACAACTGTGGGGACAGTTGTTGAATTTTTTTTAAGGGTACACGTTCTGAATGTACCACATCAATTATTCTTTGGATCATTGAATGATAAACTAACAATATTTCAGGCCAAAAAACCATCATTTAATCCATCCTTCATGATACTATTTAGTTCGAGCTTCACCATGTCATCAGCTCATTGTCTCACCATCATTTCATCTCAACCATTTCATGAAGCATATGTATGTTTCCTAAGCCATGGGCGTACCCAAAAAATGGATGGTTTGTAGTTTATAGTGGAAAATCCAATTAAAATGGATGATTTGGGGCTACCTCCAGCTTAGGAAACTTTCATATGATTCCACCCTCCCTTGTTTTACTACCATCTCAATCAAAATATTCACAATCGCATCTCACAATCATCTCAATCTCAGTTCGATCTCGGTTCTGATCCTTTCGCGAACCTTTCGCCATACGAATCCATCACTGATTCACCGTCGAGTCAAGATGATTCCATCACCATGTTGCCAACATCAACGTGTTTTACCCGCACAACATGCCACAATGATCCATCCATTCACCATGTCCCCAGCCCGTTGCCATCCATTCAGCAGCTTGGTCACCATCCTTCACCATCATGTCACCATCATTTCACTATCATTTCACCATCATTTCACCATCATTTCACCATCACTGCCCGGACCCAGAATTCCCATGTTCGCTGGTCAAACATGACATGTTTACACGTTGATTCGCATTGATTCAATCCCACATTCTGCTTCCTCAATAGCCGTGTTTCTTGTCAAAATACCCAATTGATGCTGGTCGGTCAAATCACAAGTTCCGCTGTTTTCAAATCCCAATTTGTGCTACTTCAAGCACCTTTTTTCCAGGTAAAATACCCATGTCATGAAAAAAAGCCTTCCAGCGGCCCCTTCGGTCAAATCCATGGCCTGCGTCAACGACAGCGCTGGCCCTGGCAAGACCCAGGTTGCTGGGGTCCCTCTGTTGGGATATGCCAATACTATAACCGTGTCAGACGGGATAGTTTCTATGGTCACTATGCTGATATGATAAGTATGGCTATTTCTGGGATAACTTCTATATATATATATATGTATAACATATATATATATATACATTAATTTATATATATATATACATTAATTTTTATATATATACATATATATATATTATATTATGTCTATTATTAGTTGATGTGGTGAATTTTTATGTGCTGTTCGTCAAGTTCTTGGCTCCAAGCAGTGGAGTCCGAGGCGCCCCAGGCTTCGTCGAGCAGTTCATTTAAGCTGTGGTACTTTTTTTCGGGGCTGTTGAAGCCATGAAAAATGCTGAAAATCGGGATTGAAACATTTTCTAAGTTGGGGAAGCAACTATGAGATTCTATTTCCCGCAACGGTGTCGTCAAAGATTTAGGCTGGGCAATCTACAAATCGGCTTTACGGCTGGGAAAATCATAGAACTATATACATGTTGGAGTTTCCAGCAAACCATGTTTGACTACTGGAGGGTACTACTTGAGCAATGGGATACCAGTATGTTCATTATGAGCTTTTCATTTTTTCTCTCGCCACAAGTACAACTGCCATGAATTGCCATGAGATACTAAGATGCAGCATGAGGCAACACAAGAAATGAAAACATCATACTCTTGAATACTTTTTGGGTAACGTTTCATAACCTTTTTAGTCAGACTGAAATGCTTCGCTGTTTTTGTCACTTCTTTTCGTCGGTAAGGCAACTCGCCATGCTTGCCTGATTGGAGTGTGACAAGCGCGGTTCGCTTGTTCCCCGCTTAAAAATCAGGACGCAACAATGTCTTGGACATGTCCGGCCACGGCCTAAAATTACAACACACACTGCGTTTAAAGCAATTTGCGTTTGTCTGAAAATAGGTTACCCCCAATTCCAATGGATTATATTGGATTATCATCATTGTCCTAATTTAAACGATTTAAAGATATGCATTTTTTTACATGACAATTTGGGGGTTTTGGTCTCATTTTCCCATGTGTCAGAATGCACATTCACAACTCTCATCCGTTCCGCCACAGCTGTCACTGCTCGTTGAATGCTCGTCTTCGACAACATCGGTTCCGCTGCGGTCGTTTGTTGCTGCCGCAATCCTCGCAGTCCTCGGAATCCTGGGCAATTCTGAAACCGTCAAAAAAACCTGGAAAAAAACATGAGATGCAGGAGCAAACTGCCATGATTTAACCATCAAACACTAACCATGAGGATTTAATCAAAGAAAATGGAAATTTATATTTGATGTGAGTGTGTCTTGAAGAATGAGTATACCACCCAAATGGCAATTTTGCAAAAGAAAATGATCGTGAAACATTAGGAACTTTGGGGTACCCTATCTTCAGATATCTTCAGACCATAGGGGCCTCCCCAGTTCGTTCCCAATTTTACATATATATATAAATAAACCCTCAAAAGGATAGAAAGTAGTGAACATAGTTCACCATTTGTCATGATTTTCCTCGTGAATTTACAAGATTTTTCTTCTCGGGTGGTTTTTTTTCTAGCAATGCTCTGCCGGTTGCTGTGCCCGTATCAGCGAGGCAATTGCCTTGCAAGCCCACGTGGTTTCAGCCCACCATAAGAGAGCCGATTTGTTGAAACATGTGCAGGCCACAGATTTTGAACTTGATGATCCTAGCCTTGGCATGGGTCCTTTTAGCGGAAAAATCCATTGTACTTGCACTTCGCGTAAGCATTGCCGAATCAAAACTAAAGTTTGCCAAGGATGCCAACTGTCTCAGACCGGCGTTGCCTCGAAAGTGTGGCAATCTCTGATTCGGGCTCAATATCCCACTTTTTCATCATGTTTTTTCTGAAAGGATTCCTCCAATTCATTTACGGTTTCCCGGAGTTGACCAAATCCACAGGAAAGGAAGACGAGCCCCAGCTGAAGTTGAGGAAATTATTAGGTTCACGCAACAGTGTCAGATCATGTTCTCCAGAGGTCCCACTGGGCCTTGTGTTCCTTGGACATTGGTCTATTACGATTTTTCGTTCTATGTTCCCCCGATCGAGTTTAGTCACTCAATATCCAACACTGCACCGTGCAGTGTGTGCCTTTCGTTCCCTCTTTGCGCAAGTTCTCAAGTGTGGCGGCTGCATGATTATCACTGTGCCCAAATGTACTCATTTCAAACCCCTTGGTTTGGGTAAAGTTGCGGGATTTTTCGGTTCCTTCTGCCCCCGGGCTGAAGGTGCCTGTTGGTTTGGGATCCTCACACGCTCTTGACGGTGGCTCTTCCCATAAGATTTCCGCCTCTAAGTTTGCTTGGTATTTTCCTTGATTCCAACGGTCTTTGATGTGTCGCTCGTCGCTCAGCTACCCGAGAGGTGTGTGGGCGTGAAGGAAACAGTAATATTTTTTTTGCGGTCATGATTTTTCTACATATATACATGTGTATATACATGTACATATATATATATATATATGTATATGTATATATATATACATATACATATGTGGATAAGATATATCCGGAGGTTTCTGAAAAAGGGGTGCCCCCAAATCATCCATTTATTTTTTTCGATTTTCCATGAAATAAACCATCCGGCTATTGGGGTGCCGACATGGCTTAGGAACCCCCCTTGTAAAGTCAAGCCTCGGGTTGACACTCGCCAGACTTTTCTTGGTCATCTGACTCAGGCGCTTCGCTGCAACTCGACCCACCATCTTCCAATCAAGGTCCACAACGCCCAACTCACCTGACGTCGGACACGACATCCCCGTAGAAAAAAATGGGTCATGTGGGTTGATATCTATTTGTCGAGACAATATGGACAAATGAAAAGCCGAGCTGGGCAGAGGCAGAGAGAAGGGAGAGTAGAAGAGAGAAGATCAGAGAAGAGAAAGAGTCAGAAGAAAGCAGATGCAGATGCGCGAAAAGGTAGGAAAGTCGCGAAACACTGCGTTTTTCCAGTGATTTGAGGGTCGAAAAGTAGGCTCGCTAAAG